GAGATACTGATCTCTGCAATGCCTCTGTGTGCTTTTGCCAATCAAAGGCATTTACAGTATGTCAAAACAATCAGTGATTACTGCTCTGCAGTTTTAATTCCCTCTTTTTGCAAAATAAAAGGACTTGTTCTTGTGGTTTCAGTGCCCACATAAGCATCTCTGCATGGTGAGGTAAAGCTTTCTTGTCCGTACATGTGGACCTGATAGGTATTTTTGCATAATGCCTCTTTTTTTGCAGTGTAAGATTCTGTTAGAACATAATGGAACAGGGTCTGGTCCGAAAGCCACCCTGACAGCCTGGAATTCCTGCTTCTGAACAGCAGCTCATCCACAGCACAGAGATTTTGTGATAGCCATACAACATGACACCTGCTGTCCCTCCAAGCGGAAGAAGACGCATCTGGGATGCCCTTCCGCCTTGATGGGCAGAACTGCCCCTTTCTTGACTGCTGCAATAATGTAAACCTCCGCAGAAAGCTGCTTCACGTAGACAAGCAGACAAAGCTTGCCATTTTCTCTGTGCCTCGGAGAGCCGTTTCCCATTTTGCAGGGAATGTAGAGCTCTGCGGAGCAGAACACCCGGGGGGGTGCAGCTTCCTCTGGTTCTGCACCAGCCCTCCCAGGGAGCTCCTGCGCCTGTCTGGAATATGCCATGTTATCCCACAGGCAGGCACGGGGATGATTTGTGCTTCTGGGAGCCACTGTGGTTCTCGGAGAGCAGCTCTGTGCTGTCCTCCTTGCAGGGCTACGGCTCTTCAGCTCCAGTCCAGCACTGCCAGCCAGTGCCTCTCTCCCCAGGGTCCCTAACCTCATGGCAACTGGGAAGAAAGTGTTGCAGTATGAGTAGTGCCAAACCCAGCCTGTGAGAACCAGTTGGAAACACTACCTGAGAAGTCAGCAATTACTCAGCACCACTGAGAGCAAAATATTCGGGCTGCATATACATCCCAGCCTGTAAATCACAATGTAAGGAGACAGACTTCTTGCTTGCACATTGGTAGTCCCTAGCAACACCATTTGATAAAGCCCTGCTCTGGTTTTAGAGGTCCAGGCTAAATTTTCTGTTCAGTGTTCCTGACCCTAGAAGTCTGGCATTTGTTTGCTGAAAAAAAAAAAAAAAAGCACAGTTACGTCTTTAAAGCTCTGCTGCTTGGTTGGCAAACAAATGCTGGGAAGTGCAGCTCTGCTGAGGTTGTGCAAAAAGAAAGCAATTGTTATTCATTAAGCAGATGACAGCAACGGGAGCAAAGGGGATAAAACTCAAAATCTGAAACCACCTGCTTTAATTTTAGCCATAATTGAAGTGGCTGCCCGTGATGTTGCTGATGCACGTATCAGATTTGTACGCCATGCACTGCTCTCACTGATTTCTGTGGCAGCAAGCTCCAGCCCACTGTCTGCTCTGGTTCAGGAGGGGATGAATCTCCTGTTTGATTGCAGGTTATAACGGGCACTTTAGAATCTGTTTGTTTCCTTCCAGGAGCAAAATGCAATTGGAGTCTGGCGCTCTGATAGACAGATGCTTTAGTCATTAGTGAGGTTTCTGTGACTACACCACTGTGTCCTAGTATGGGTGCACTTATCTCTTTTGTTCCTGGTTCGAAGCAGTGCAGCTTTTCTCGCTCCTGTGCTCACACGCTCACTCTCCTTTTCTCTTTCCCTCTCTCTCTGTCTTTGATCTTGCTGGTATGGGGAAAAATATCAGATCCAAATCTTCCACATATTTAACCAAAACATCTTGTAGGATGGGAATAAATTGTGACTGAGTGCAGCAGCAGGGGGCTGCAGTATGATTGCTTGTACTGCTTGCTTTCTGTTACTACAAAATAGCAGCAATCCTCAAGGAGTGCTGGGGCTCTGCAGCTACATAAGCACTTAGGGGCTCAGCATTCACAGAGGGCTAAGGTGGTTTTGCTGGGAATGGGTGGGCTGTGCAAAGCTTTCCTCTATCGGTCTCGAATTCACATGAAACAAGTAAAAAGGGAAGAGATCTTTCCTAATGGCAGAGAGGGTCTCATCCTTCTCTAAATTCCCTGGAGTTTTTGCCATGGAGTTAAATGGCCGTAAGATAGCACTGTCACTTCATATTCAACCTCATTGCAGTACTGGCGACATAAGCCTCAGAGCTGGGGAGCTCACAGCAAAATCAGTGAAGGCAGGAAAAGTCTTGACCTCAGCTGCACAGTGAAATGTTAGAGTGGGAGCAGTAACGGTCTATCCTTGAGCTGTTTAGTGCAGATTTATACTGCATGTGTTTGTACGTCTATGTCAGCTTTCCAAAGCTATGAAAAGCTTTTTTATGGTTTCCTGTGATGATACATAGTCAGAGGGGATACTCAGATGAATAAAGAAATATGCCACGAAATGGGGAACAGGTGAGCTGCGTGACAGATGTGTGTGCTGTCCTTTGTCGATTCAGTGCTGCTCCTTAGCTAACAGTATGAAGTGCCAGGAATACGACATGAGGCTTAACTCCACTTGGGATGTTGCTTAGGGAGAAGATCCTCACTCCTTTGGAGCACAGCACGTTGTGTGATGTAAGATCCCCATTCCCTTCTGATCAGCCTTCCCTACTAAGCATGTCTTCATTCCTCTGCTTTACTGATCATTTACAGCTGTTCGCTTTATTTCATGAGAAATTCTTAAAGGGCTGAGACAGTAACTGGACTGTGCTGTTCTGTAATGCAGCCCAGAGCTGCCGCCACGTTTTGAGCGGCCAAATGAGATTCACACTCAAGTCCCAGCAGACATTGTTCATCTCAGTTGCAGGAGTCCACATTTTTCTGGGGTCTGGTATCTCCCCGGACATCTTCCTTGTCGTAATGAAGAGGGAGATGGCTATGGCATTGAGGTGTATTAACCCCCTACTTGGTAGACTGCCAGCCCAGCCTTTTTTGGTCTGATGTGTAGGTACTGCCATCTTTAAGGAGGCATAAAATGTGTTGCAGAGTGGGTCATACCCTGACATCAGTTTGTAAAGTGAGTTGCAGTGGTTTTTCCCTGTAGTCTTTTTATCACTGTTATAGTCTAATACCTGTATTTAAATCACGAATTAGTGAGCAAATAACCACATTATGGGCACTTACTTAAACACAAGTAGTGTCAGAAAATAATGAGTTCTAAAAAAATATCTGTGGCAGTTTTTCCTTTGTGTATTCCTGGTGATGAAGAGGACACCAAACAGCCTGTCATGTCATTTCAGTTCCTTTTATGCACAGCTGGGCTAAAAGTGAATGCACGCTTCCATCTTTCACCAGTGTGTGTCTTCCTTCTATATGCATTTAAATAATAGATTCTCCTTTTATTTATCAATTCATTAGCTTTTTTAAGTAAAAGAAGTTGTGTAATTGCTATGCCCATGAGGCGTGTGACACCTCTGACCATCACGGACTGTCTCCTGCAGACCACGCAGGGCAGCGAGTGCATGGTGCCAGAGCCCACCATCCACACCCCTAAATCATGCTGCAGAAAAGACAGGGAATGGTTTGCAAGTGCACTTACATCCCCTCATTTTGGTGTAGCTTCAGAGAATGCTCCACTTAGACCTAAAAGATAGGCATCCATTTCTTTTGCATAAAGGAGTCCTGTGATGTTACAGCTCCACATGTGGCCCTGGTTTCTCTGTCCCCAACAAGTGTCCTTGCAGAAAGACCAAAAGTACTTGAATTCTTATAAAAGCTCATACTCCTTTGAGAGCTACATAGCCAGCAGATGCTTTACAGTGAAAGAGAATATCCTTTGAAAACAATCTGGTGTTTATTAATCAACAAGAATTCAGTGTTTGGGGTCCTTTGGCAGGAAAAGAGAAGGAAAGCACATGTGGCCTGGCCTCCTGAGTGAAAACATGCAGGTTCCATCCCCGTGCTCTGCTGAGGAGCAGATTTCATATAGCATTGGTATGTCAGCACTTTGCTCTCAGTTCCAGTGACATTTGGCAGGATTCAATATGCTTATGTTGAGACTGAGTTGCCTAAAACCCAGGCAGCAAGCCATTCACCTGTTCTCTGGTGTTGCCCTATAGATATCTAGATTCATTAGACTCCCTCTTAGCCAGAGAGTTCTCTGGACACTTAATTTTAGACGCCCACATATGGTCAGAAGTGCCATTTCTGGGAAGGCAGGCACTTGGATCTTACTTAAAGCTGTGTTGTGTTTCAGGTTTATGTGGGTAGGCACCTGGATTCTGTTTTTTTGTTGCAGAGGACTGAAAAATGAGTTATGGACAAGACTAAGTCACAGGCCTAACCTTCCGCCTCGTGACCATCGCTCTTGCTCAGACATCGGAAGATGGGATCTAGGCACTGCTCAGCCTGAGCGGTTTGTCCCCATCCCGGCTATATCTCAGGAGAGCACCCTCACCATCCCTCCCTTCGCTGCTCTGCAGCTGTAGCTTGAGAAATATGAGGCCAGGGATGAAATGTGAAAGAAGAGATTGAGCACAGAGGGGAGCAGTGACCAAAACCAGTTATTAGGGTGCTGCAGGGGAAGGAGAGACCCAGGCCCTCCTCCCTGGCATGTGATGTGCATTTTACACTGGGTACCACCATCGCCATCAGGAAACACCGATGGGAGATTGTCTGGTTTTCTGGCTGCAGAGTCCTAGAGGTGCCATCTGTTCCCCATTTGTTGCAGAAGTTATTTAGGTGGCTGTGTGAGACAGACAGGATGACCCTCTGGGCTTTGGTGCCTTTGATGAGGCAGCATCTGAAGTTAACACTTAAACAGACTTGATTTTATTGCCTTTGTGTATAATAATGCCCATGAAATCATTAAAACTTTTTGTCTGCTTCTTGGTCTTCTGTCATCTCCCTGTAGTGTTCCTGTCATATGCTGACTTTGTATGACCTGCCTGCCTGAAAAATCACCAGCCATCCTCCCTTTCCCAGCCCCACACGCAGGGGTGTGAGGTACCTGCACTAGCACTTCCATGGCTCATTAGGGATTCTTGGATGAGGGACACCACATTTGGGAATAATCCTTTTTCCATTTCTGACTCACAGATTGATGAACTCCCTGAAGGAGCTGTGAAGCCTCCAGCAAATAAATACCCCATCTTCTTTTTCGGGACTCATGAAACGTAAGTGAATGAACGTGGTCTTTTCCTTTGAAAATATCTTCTTCCACTGCAGCTGATGTAATCTCCACTGATTTTATTGGAACAAATCCTGACTGAAGCCATTGGGAGCCTAGAGATAGGTCCTGTGAGCCCAACTCATTTGTATCAACATATGGAAGTGAAACCTGAAAGTAGGTGGGAGTGTTGCTGCGTGGATGGTATACCATTGTGTAAGCATAAATAATAACTGGTGCCTGTGCTTCCCATAAAGAAAAGTGTTGGCATAAATTTATTAAAGGGTCATCTGAACTCAGATGAAGGGGCAAACTTTTTTTGCTTGGATGTACGTGATAGCAGGGATCAGGCTGTTGTATTCAGGCACGTTTGAGTTCATGTCCTGTGTGAGAACTCGCTTGGTAGTTTGTAAAATGAAGGGAAACAGACCCCAGAGTCTCACGCAGTTTTCACTGGCTTTAAAATATATGTATTCCTGTGAGATTTGTGCTGGGGATATTGTAGGATGGAGCTCTCAGAAGTGATAGAAGAATTGAGCTGGCTGAGCTTATAGGAAACAAAAGAAATCAGAACAGAAAGGGTAAGTTAGGTCTAGTAGTAACTGCCACAGAGTTGCGCAATTATAATGTACATGTCTCTGTTTTAAACTATGTCAGAGGTAGTTAGAAAAAATAAATCACAGTTTCCATTTTGCATGAAATGTTTAGATTTTAAAACTTTTCCTTCCCCACTTGCAGGGAACATGTTTTCTAGAATTCCTTAAAAAGCAGAAAATGAAAAAATGAAATTGTGATGACATTTAAAATTCAATTTTAGAGGTTAGAAGCTTTATTTAAAATTTATTGTTTATTTTTGAATGTTAACATTATTCCAGAACATAATAAGCCCTATAGCTCATACATTACATTTTATTTTAAAAATCTTTAAAGGCAGTTTCTGCTTAATAAGGATCAAAATAGCCCCTCTTTAGTTAAAATATTTCTTCCTGTTGCTGTAATGAAACAACCTGATATTTTGATATATTGTGATCTACTACTAGTGTCCCAAAATAATCTAAAAAGAATAAAGTTCAAATAAACTTCTGATGCTTTAAATTCAGAAACCAAAATGTTTGGGGTTTTGTAACGGAAAAATTCTTCTTGAGAAACATTTTGAGAAAAACCTCAGACCACTTTTATTCTGAAATGAATGAATCCCAAACTGCTAATCTCTTTTCTTTGGGATGTTGTTAGCCCATGATCTGACTGTAACATCTGCAACTGGAAAACAGTTTGTAGTTACTACCTTAATAATTTAAAAAGCATAATGATTAAAAATGAACTGTAGATTGCAGCTCCTTAGTTTTATAGCGGAGCGGTGGAAACTCTTCTACTCTCCCAGTGGCAATGAATGTAGTTCAAACAAAGATGTAGACAATTTTTCAGTGTTTACTATACATAAAAGGCTTTAGAAACATTTCCATGCATTACCTTTGAGCTAAATTAAGGTAGCTCACGTAAGTTTCACGCAGTTTTCCTTTGTTATTTGTATTAGAACTGTTTGTATGTATTTTTTTGCAATAAGGAGACATCTAGTATTAGCAAAAGCATAGATAAAATAATTTATTCAGATCCCTTGCTCTATTGTAGCCTTTAATATTAACAAGACATCTGTTAGTTTGGAAATCACTGTTCGGCTTTCAGGTAGAAATGCATTTTTGGCTTTGTAATTATAGAATTGAGGTATTTCTCAATGAGACAACAAAGTGTGGATACCATTCTTCTGTGTTGTTAAAAGGAAACTCTTTC